GTCAACGCCACTGCCTCTGTCACGGCCAGTTCAGAAATCAGGTCACCGCCAGAGCAAGTTTCTACCCAACTCTCTTGTCCATTTGCGCGTAGTGTGGCTTCCAGGAGACAAGGAGGCGGAGAGCGCACCGCGTGTACATGTAGTCCACGTGCACATTTGCACATACACAAATTCTAGGGGCCGCTCCTGTGATCCACCTTCCTGCTCGTTTGTCCAAGATCAATCTCTCTCGCTCTCTCGCTCTCCCTCACCATCTCTCTCTCTCTCTCTCTCTCTCTCTCCCTTCGGTCTCTCTCTCTCTATATCTCCCCCCGTCCATCCTGGATCGAATTCCTGCCATCATTACCATCATTTGCGTAGTCATTCTTATAGTAAGGTGTCCTCTTCATTTCCTTCTCTCCCTCCTGCTGGCCCGCAGCATACGGACTATAGCGGTCTTTGAGCCTGCCATTGCACTCTTGGGAATGGCGATACCGCCATTACCAACAGGGTCGCTTTGGAGATGATGTGAGCGATGCCTCCCTGAATTGGAAAGTGGAACGGGTTTGCAACTCCTCGGTCTGAGTGAACACCCCCGCGCGGTCAACTTTGCTGACACATCCCTGCTGCCGTCCACCGCGACTTCCCTGTCCTCGCCCCTTTTGAACCCGTGTAACAACCACGACCTCCTCTGTGCTCAAGCCCACCCTCCTCTGGATAAGGGGGCCCCCTTGAGGCCCGCTGCGCGGTGCCGCATCGCATGCGGCCTGATGGGCTCGGTCGAGCAGGGCGCGCATGAGATGCCGCGCTGTCAGGTTGGTCGATGGGGTGAGGATCTCGGCGCGCGCGGTCTGCTTCTCGTTGTTTCCAGGACGAAGACATCGGGTCCTGGCAATCAGATCACGAACTTGCTTGGCTACTGTACGTGAGCCCCTTCGCTTTCTTGCCAGTGGGGCACGGTCAGATACTTCCTCCCGCCTCTTGGTTTTCCTGGCCGTGATCTCGAGAGCGCGGTGGGCAGACCAGCTGGCTGGAACGAGGCGTCGGGGAAGTCTCGGGCCCTCGCGATGACCCTCAGGGACGAGGCGGACGAGACCGTCCAGCTCCTCGGCGACGTCGCTGGCATTTCCTGGTCTGAGCGCAGCGAGATTTGCTGCATGTCGAGTAAGCGCGGCGGCCGTCTTGGGGCGGGATCGCGCGGCCGTCGACAGGCTGGATCGTTGGTCTGTTTCGAAGTCGGAGGCCTACGTCCGCACACAGAGGCTCGTGGTGGAGCGGCTTCGGGCGAGTTGGCGCGCTTCGTCTGATCGGGTCTGGGCAGGGCTTGTTGGATGAGGGCGAGATCTTGGGGGGCTGGCAGCTTCCTTGGAGAAGAAATGGTGCTCGGGCGCGGGGACTGCCGTCAGGCTGCGCCCCGCCGAACCCGCCCCTCCGACCGAACGCGCCCGAGAGCTGGCCGTGTCCAGCCTCCTCCCTCCGACCGTCCGGCCCAACCGACCGACCTCCTCATCCCCCCTCCGACTGGCCGACCGGCCGACTGGCCGACCGCCTTGTGGGCTGTGCCCTGCTGAGAGCGCCGCGCGAAATGCCCCTCGCCGTCCCGCCCCGCCCCCTCGCAGGCGTAAGCGCCAGCAGCAGGGCAATGCAGCGGCCCCGCCCATCCGCCGGGCCGGACAGCCGCCCCCGGACGGGCTGGGGGGCGGGGGCGGGCTGGGCCAGAGCACTCTCGTGCTGCCGGTGCTGCTCGTGGCGCCGCTCCTCCTGTTCCCCCAGCTGCTGCTGCTGCTCCTTCTCCCGCCCCCCCTTTCCCCCCCGTCATTCGTCCTGTTCCCCTCCTAGGCTCCAGCTGCTGCTGCTGCTGCTGCTGCTGCTGCTGCTGCTGCTGCTGCTGCTGCTGCTGCTGCTCCGCATCCCCCTCCAGCCTCCCCCCCTTCTGCTGCTTCTTTTCTCGGAGCTCCTTTCCTCCTCCTCTCCAGTTGCTGCTGCTGCTGCTGCTCGTCTTCTAGCTCCCTCCCTTCGTTCCTGCTGCTCCCCCTTTCTCCTCCTCCTCCTCCTCCTCCTCCTCCTCCTCCTCCTCCTCCTCCTCCTCCTCCCCCGCTCCATTGTCCTTCCTCCTTCAAGCTGGCATTAGCAGGAGATGGATGCCTCCGCGTAAGTCCCTGCAGGCTTTCAGCATCACGCGACCCCCTGGGGCCCCATGGTCTTGCCATGTAGGCGAGAATCCCGTTTTGAGCATGAGTTGCTTCGCATCGCTCTAGCGCCAAACCAGGACTGTGACAGGGCATTATCAGGCAGGTCAGCGAGGCTTTCAGCGAGACTCCTGCTTTGATCAAGAACCGCCCCCCCATCCGTGTAGCTGCTGCGCAAGTTTGCGCTTCTGGGCACGAGCGGCGAGGAAGTCAAGCGAGAACCCCATCGTGAAGAGGCGCCGCCCTCCATCCGTGCAGCTGCTGCACTGAAATTCCCGGGTCTTTCAACGCAAGCGAGCTTCAAGGCAGCGCCGGAGCGCCCTTTCTTTGAAGACTGATCGCTGTCTTGGCACAATGCCCCATTTTGGAAGAGTGCGCGAACGCCAGTTTGAGAAGGAACCGCCCTACGTCCCCGTAGTTGTCGCAAGCGTTTATTTACGTCGAGTCTGCGCGGCGCTACCGCTACGGCGAGAGGTCCATTCTGAAAATGACCCCTTCTATCCTCGCACTTGTTGCAACATTTGGAGACGACTGTGCGCGGCGCTGAGGCGAAAATTCCATTTCGAGAACGACCTGTGCTCCATCTGTGTGACGAGTGCCATTGTTAAAGACCAGCGTGCGAGGCGGTAAGTCGAGGCTCCATTTTGACAACAAAACACCTTCCCTTTTAGCTGTCGCAAGATTTGACGAATCTGTGCGGCGCTGAGGCGAGACCCCCATTTCGGAAAAATGACCCCGTCCAATATTGTAACCGTCGACAGGTTTTGAGATGAATTTGCCAGGCGCTAAGGCGAGAGCAATATATTGAAACCACCTCCCTGGATCCTTATAGCCGTCGCGAATCCTAAGCTTCAGGTTCGTGAGTGGTGAGGAAACCTCGTGCGGAACAACCAGCCCGATCCAGCGACACGTTTGGGGGTGCGACAGGGGGAGCCACCCAAGGATGTTAACTAGCTTGGGCCCAACACAGACTATTTCGAGCATCAGCTGTGGACGAACTTTTGGTGCAATCTAACTATGTGGTGTAATCGATGTGGTGCGTAATCAATGTGGTGCAACTGACGTTGGGCAATCTATGTTGAGCAATATAGATTGTACGACCTATGACGTTCAGTGTAATATGGGCGATGCAATCTAGGTGGTTCAATCTACGTTGTGCGCAGTCCATGTGGTGCGAAACCTATGTACAATCGACGTGGTGCAGCCTGTGTGCTTCCATCTACGAGTTGCGAAAGATGTGGTGCAAGCTATCTGGTGCAATTGGCGTGGTGCAATATATTTTGTAATTATATGGAAAAGCTTGCAGTTGTCAGCTCCTCTGCTCGCGCAATCATCCCACCCACCCACTTGTAATTCTGTCTGCAAAACCCATGCGGCGGCGATTGCGACGAATGCTTGGTGTTGGCTGGCGCGTCCACTATGTATATATTTATATGTGAGTATGTACATTTATGTAGAGGACATTTGAGGTTGTTCCCTTCGGTACCTGAGGATTGTCAGAGATTTCGGCATGTGCGCGCGACCGCGCGAGTGCACCTCGTTTCAGTTTTTGCAAGGGTTCTTGCGACGGCACCCGCGCGAGGGTGTTCGAACGATCTCAACATGCGCGCGCGATAGGCACGCTTGGTAGCACTTGATGAACATGTTCGAAGACCCATGGTTCTCCTGAGAATTCTTAAGAGCGCGGGCGCATGTTTTGTTGTTGTTGAACCCCTCTGGTGCACACAGTATTCTTTCTATTGAAGTGCCCCTCCCGGCGCTCGCACCATAAAACATCTTCCTCCTCCACCTGTGTTGTTGCCCTCCAGGTTAACACAAGCCTGAGACTTCCTCACATTTTAGCCAGGACCCCCCTCTCGCCCGAGACTTCATCGCATTTTATTCAGGAATCGCGCTTTCGCTTGGGATTTCCCCAGGAATCGGGATCTCGCTGCCCTTCGTGGCCCCGCTGCAGCCCTTCGTGGCCCCCTCGCTGCCCTTCGTGGCCCCGTTGCAGCCCTTCGTGGCACCGTCGCTGCCCTTCGTGGCCCCGTTGCAGCCCTTCGTGCCCCCCTCGCTGCCCTTTCGTGGTCCCGTTGCAGCCCCCCTCGCTTTGTTTCGTGGCCCCGTTGCAGCCCTTCGTGGCCCCGTCGCTGCTCTTCGTGGCCCCGTTGCAGCCCTTCGTGGCCCTTCGCTTTGTTTCGTGGCCCCGTTGCAGCCCATCGTGGCACCGTCGCTGCCCTTCGTGGCCCTGTTGCAGCCCTTCGTGCCCTCTTCGCTGCCCTTCGTGGCCCCGTTACAGCCCTTCGCGGCCCCCTCGGTGCCCTTCGTGGCCCCGTTGCAGCCCTTCGTGGCCGCCTCGCTTTGTTTCGTGGCCCCGTTGCAGCCCTTCGTGGCCCCGTTGCTGCCTTTCGTAGCCCATATATGTATGCCCTTCGTGGCCCCCGCTCGTTCGCGCCCGTCGTGGCCCCATATGCATGCCCTTCGTGGCCCCGCTGTCGCCCTTCGTGGCTACCTCGCTGCCCTTGGTGGCCCCGTTTCTGCCCTTACTGGCCCCGTCCTTGCCTTCGGCGGCCCAATATACGTATGCCCTTCGTGGCCCCCGCTCGTTCGCGCCCGTCGTGGCCCCATGTGCATGCCCTTTGTGGCTCCGCTGTCGCCCTTTGTGGCCCGCTCGCTGTCCTACGTGGCCCAGTTGCTACCCTCAGTGGCCCCGTCGTTGCCTTCTGTGGCCCTGCATTATCTGCCCTTCGTGGCCCCCGCTCGTTCGCGCACCTTGTGGCCCCATACACATTCCCTTCGTGGCCTACTTCGTGCCCTTCGTGGCCCTGCTGTCGTTCTCTCTTTCGCTTTCTCTCGTCGTCGTCGTCGTCGTCGTCGTCGTCGTCGTCGTCGTCGTCGTCGTCGTCGTCATCGTCGTCGTCGTCGTCGTGGTCGGTCCCCTGTCCGTCCCTCTTGGGGTCGGGTTGCCGCCGATCAGCGCTGCCGCTGGCCAGGCTGACGGTCCGCGGCCGCCCCGCCGCTTGCCGGGGCCAGGCCTGCAGGGAAGAATGGCACCCCCCCAAAGGGGTACGGTCGAAGACGAAGAGGGCGGGTATCGAGGGTTTGAGAAATACGCGCCAAAGGACATTCGAGCAGATAAGAGCGAACAGTTTTAAACTGATGGTTGAATTCTCACTCTGAAGAATAGTTATTGTCGGCCCCCCCTCACCGGTGTATATTGTTTTTCTCAATTAAAGTGTGCCCCTTGACGCTCGCACCCTGTTTTTTGACAGGGAAAGTCTTGATGCTCAAACTGTGCCCTCCCCGGGTTACAGCGACAACGGCTCCCGCCTCAGACTTCCTCACAATTTAGCCAGGACTCCCGCTCCCGCCCGAGACTTCCTCGCATTTTATTCAGGAATCGCGCTCTCGCTTCGGACTTCCTTACAATTTAAATAGGAATCGCTCTCCCGGCGCTCTGGAGTCGCGCTCTCGCTGGAGACTTGCTTGCAATTTACTGAAGCATCGCGCCCTTGCGTGGGATTTTTGCAATTTGCTTAAGCGCCGCGCTCGCCCGTCGTGGCCCCGTGTGCATGCCCTTTGTGGCTCCGCTGTCGCCCTTTGTGGCCCCCTCGTTGTCCTACGTGGCCCAGTTGCTACCCTCAGTGGCCCCATCGTTGCCTTCTGTGGCCCCGCATTATCTGCCCTTCGTGGCCCCCGCTCGTTCGCGCTCTTCGTGGCCCCTTCCCCATTCCCTTCGTGTCCCCGAAGTCGCCCTTCGTGGCCTACTTCGTGCCCTTCGTGGCCCTGCTGTCGTTCTCTCTCGCTCTCGTTTTCGCTCGTCGTCACCGTCGTCGTCGTCGTCGCCGTCGCCGTCGCCGTCGCCGTCGTCGTCGTCGTCGTCGTCGTCGTCGTCGTCGTCGTCGTCGTCGTCGTCGTCGTCGTGGTCGGTCCCCTGTCCGTCCCTCTTGGGGTCGAGTTGCCGCCGATCAGCGCTGCCGCTGGCCAGGCCGACGGTCCGCGGCCGCCCCGCCGCTTGCCGGGGCCAGGCCTGCAGGGAAGAATGGCATACCCCCCAAAAGGGGTACGGTCGAAGACGAAGAGGGCGGGTATCGAGGGTTTGGGAAATACGCGGTATTGGACACACGAGCAGATAAAGGCGAACAGTCTTAAAATGATTGCTGTTGTTGGTGCATCTTCGTTTCTAGATAATAAATATTGTTGATCTCCGGAAACGGTTCCGGGCGCTCTCGCTTCGACGCGGGCTACAGTTTCTCTGAATGCAAGGCTTCCGCTCGAGCGTTGGCTTGACCCTACAAGTGGGCCCTTGGAGGCCCAGCTACGACAACAACGGCTCCCGCTCGATGCTTCCTCATAATTTACTTCGAGACACCCTGGCCAGAGAGGCCCCCGAACTCAGGAACGGCACTCTCGCTCGAGACCTCCTCGCAATTCAATCAAGTACGCGGGGGCCCAGCCACGACGACAAGGGCTCCTGCTCGATATTTCCTCACGATTTACTCCGCGAGCCCCTGGCCAGGAAGGCCCCCGAACTCAGGAACGGCGCTCCCGCTCGAGATTTTCGCCTAATTCAGCCAAGTTGGTGGAGGCCCAATGCGACGACAAGGGATCTCGTGCGATACTTCCTCAAGATGTATTCGCAGCGGCCCTTGCCAGAGAGGCCCCCGAAATCAAGAGTGGCGCTCTCGTTCGAGACGCCCTTGTCATTCAGTCACTTTGGTGTGGGCCAAGCCGCGACGACAAGAGCTCCCGTTCGTGAGTTCCTCAAGCTGTATTTCGAGAGATCGTGGCCCGAGACTGCAATTCAGTAGCGGCGTCGGAGGCCCACCTGCGCCGACAGGGGCTCCCGCTCGACACCCCCTGTAGTATTCCTACACGACCTGGCCAGAGAGGCTCCCAAACCACAAACGCCCCAGCACGCTGTAGAGATTGTGGGACCAGGAGTCAGAATAATAAGAGGCATAGGATGATGGTGAGTGTAATGAGGATGGCGGTGACGATGATTTTTTTGGGTGTGGGGGTGATGCTGATGACGGTGATGGTGGTGTTTCTGATTGATTCGACGGGACTCAGTGGCGAGGGAAATTACTGATCACGATGATGCTGATGATGACGACGAGGATGGGGCGGATGAAGAGGAGGAGGAGGAGTAGGAGGAGAAGGAAGAGGAGGAGGAGGAGGAGGAGGACGAGGAGGAGGAGGAGGAGGAGGAGGAGGAGGAGTAGGTGCGGCAGAGATATGATGGATAAGGAGGAGGAGGAGGAGCATAATGGGTTTTTGTTGTTGATGCTGCTGCTGCTGATGATGATGATGGTGGTGGTGGTGGTGGTGGTGGTGGTGATGTGGTTATGATGGGGATTATGCACGCATGCGCACCTTTAATCACTCGTTGCGCACATGCGACATCGTTCAAGTGGAGTGCTCCCGACGCTCCGTGGTGCCAACCGGCACGAAGCGCGAGCTCCCCGCAGGACAGCGGCAGCTCGTCCTGCACCCTTCCATTCTTCTTCCTGCCCCCCATTTGTATTTTTGAGCAGACTGAAGGGAGACCGTTCCCCTTCGCACAAGAGCCCGCCCAAGGCAGTCCTGCAGGTGAGAGGCATGCGGTCGCAGAGGGGGCGCGCGGGGCTTCTGTTCGTGAGTACGTACCACATTGTGGAGTCTGGGATCTCCAGACTCAGTTCTCTCGTTCTTTTCGCCTTCTAGCTGCTGCCAGGCGCTCCAGGACCTTGCAGCACCTTGCGGCGCCTCGCCGCTGCAGCACGCTTGTCTCCCAACTCCGTGAGCCGGTCGTTGGAGCATCTGTTCGCCAGGGGTACGCCCCTTTCCTTCCATCTTTCGCCTCGCTTCCCTCTTCCCGCCTCCTTCCTCTCCTCACCATTCCCCTCCCGCTCCTGCTCCCTGCCCTCCCATTCTTCATCCTCGTAGCCCTCCTCCTCCCTCCCCTCCTCCTTCTCTTCCTCCTCCTTTGTGTCTGTTTTGGGTCAATTCCTGAAGGGCCGTATGAGGGACGCTTCACCTTTTTCGGCATCGTGAGAGCAATCACCAGCCGTGGGCCCAGCCCGTCGACCAGCACCGTAAGCAGCTCGGAGCGCCCGTGCCCCCTTGGTTCGGGGGCCTGGAGGCGCTGGGCTTGGCCCTCCATAGCGGGTGCGCCACGTGCATCCGCGCGGCAGGTGTGCTGCGATGTCCAGGAGGGCTGCCTCGCGGCATCGCGCGCGGAGGAGGCCCGTGCCCTGTGCACGACATTGCTGGACATGGTGCGGTGCGGCATGCCATGCAGTGTGCACCTTGCTTGCATATTGTATCGCCAGAAGGCTGGATGATGTCATGCGATTGTGCCCTCTTTGGGTGTCAGTGAAGGGGACGTCAGCGGAGCGTTGCGGCGCGCCTGGACGTCAGTGAAGGGGGTAGCGGAGGCGCTTGCGCGGGGCAAGTTGGTCGCCTCAGGCCCCTTTTTGCGCCCCAGATGCGTCGAGCTCGCGGCGGCGGCTCGGCTCGAGTACGAGGCAGGCCCCTGTGCGGCCGAGCTCCCGACCGAGGCGGTGTTCGACATCACGCTGAGACCTAAGACGTCCCTGGAGGCCATCTGTCGTTCATGCAGGCCAGCGAGGGGTGCGAGGGCGCACGGGGCAGCTGGCGCCAGCTCGCCGCTGTGTCGCTGCCCTCCTGACCACGCGCCTTGGGGCCCGCCTGCCCGCTCCGCGCCACGGGCGGCTGCTGTGAGGCGGCGGGCTCGGGGCTGGCGCCTTGTAGCGGCTCAGTGAGGGAGGGCGCGATTGCGCTTCACGTCGCCTCATTCGCCACCTGCGTGGAGCGCGAGGGGCGCCAGGGCGCGTGTGGTAGGCCCGCGGGCGCTGCAGGTCTTCATGCGCTTCAGTGCCTGGTGGGGCCTCGCCGCGTCCGGCTATATGATGAGATTCTGCGGCTTCGGCGGAAGGATCTCCGCCCATGGCGGCCACGCCAAAGTGGAGCGGTGCGAGCTGGAGCGACGCAAGGAGGATGTCGGCGAGATAGCCGAGGCGCAGTTGGAACCTGTCGTCAGCTGCCCTGGTATGCCCATGCCGACGTGGGTGGGCGGCACTGTTCGCTCGCCTGGTTGGTCGCGCCCACCACTGCGCGTCACAGGCCACGCGGCTCTAGCCGTGGTGCGGTACGGTGCGCACCTGTGGGGCGACGCGTTCGTCTTCCTCGCGTCCGAGACCCATGGCTCGCTCGGTTCTGCAGCGCAGCCCTTCGTTCTGGAGATCGCCACCGCTGAGGCGCACCGCTGTCAATCCTGGGTGGATCGCCCAGGCGCCTCGGCACAGCTTTCGCTCGGCAGTTGTCCGCCATAGCGTCAGGGACCCTCAGGGCACGCCGGGCGAAGCTCCCGATCGTGGCGTCGCTGCTCATGAGGGCGCGGGCAGTGTGCCCTGAACAGCTCCATGCAGAAACGCGTGTATACACATAAGTGTGTGTTGCTGCACTTTGCTCGACATATTTACTGCTACCAGGAGACTGTCTGGCCAGCATTATCATCACACTTGCCACCACCACCACCACCACCACCACCATCATCATCATCATCATCATCATCATCATCATCATCATCATCATCATCATCATCATCATCATCATCATCATCATCATCATCATCACCAGTATCAGCATCAGCATCAGCATCGCCATCGCTATCTTCGTCGCCATCACCTTCTCGTAGTCCCCCCTCTCCTGCCGTCACCCCTTCCAACCTGGAATGCAGGGCCGCTTCTCGGCGAACTGTTGAAGACTGCGCGCGTACGGCAGCGAGTGGCCATCCTGGATGCTGGTTTTGCCGCGCCTTCGGAGCACGCGGGTCGCTATCCCCCTCCCTGGCCTGCTTCCGGGAAGTGGACATGGCCTCCTGGTGCCACTGGCCTCGTCGTGGCCCACGACCCCTTCGAGGCCTCCCGTGTGTCTTTCCCAGGGTTTGCCGCCGTTGGCACTTGGTGTATTACCGATCTCAACCACTTTTCGCTGGCGACGCGTTTCGGACTCCAGGTCCTCTTCTGGGCCAAACGGGTGCGGTGTCCCACGCGCGTGCCGTGCAGCGCGCAGGCAAGGCAGCAGGAGGTCAAGAGTGCGGTTTTTGTTTCACCCTCGTTGCTCTCGGCGTGGCTCTCACGCTGGGGCTCTGCTCGGCTGCCCCGTGGCCCGTGGGCACCTCGAGTTGCCGGGCGCGTTCCACCACTTGCACAGCGCCTGCTCGCAGACGCCCGAAAGACACATGTCTTTTTCGATGTACTTTGTCGTAGATCCCCCGCGGCGGATCCAGGCGATTTGCGAGTAGCTAACCTGCGGGCAGTGGAGCGCGCTCGTCTCTCGAGGGGCGTGGCTTCTGCGGCACCGCGCGCGCGGCGCGGCCCGCGGCCCCTGCGTGGCCCGCGGCCCCCCTGCCGTGGCCGCTCCCGTGCGGGGGCCTCGGGTCTGCGGGGCTCTCGGTCGGCGGCGGCCGTCACGTGGCCCCGTCGGTGGCCCGTGGCCCGTGGCGGCCCTCGTCTGAGCAGCGCGCTCGCCTGCCCGTGGCACCCATCGCTGGTGGCCTCGAGGCACCTGCAGAGAACGTGTGACGGTCTCACCCCGAGCGGGGTCGAGAGTCTGCGAAGAACTGATCTCGGTTTGTTTCCTCGGCGGGGAGGCCCCCCAAGTGCCATCAAGATGGCCATGGCTCAGAGAGATGATCGTCGTGTCGTGTCGGCCCACGAGGCCAGGGGGAGTGCGCAGCCAGAGCCAGAGGGGGCCCCCGCCCAGCCTCCTGTCGTGGCCCGTGCCCGCAATGACGGGCAAGATCGTGAGCAGTTGCGTCAGGTTGCCAAGGAGCTTAGGACGCAAGCGAATATCCAGAGATTGTTGGCGGCGGCGAGAGGACCGCAGATTTTAGACCAACGGGCCACGCAGGAGGATTCAGACGCTTCGGACTGACAGCAGATGTCTGGAAGCAGGATGGAGTGTAGGACGAGTGTCCGCGAGCAAAGAGTCCAAAGAGTCCTCCTCCTCCTCCTCCTCCTCCTCCTGTTCGTCCTCCTCCCTCCTTCCTCCTCCTGTTCGTCCTCCTCCCTCCTTCCTCCTTCCTCCTCCCTCCTCCTTCCTCCCTCCTCCCTCCTCCCACCTCCATCCTCCCCTGGCCCTCGGGAGTGGCTCCCGGGAGCCTCGTGGCCCTCGCGCTCGGGGGGGCCACTGCCGCACCGCGGGCCCGGTGGCCCGCGGCCCGCGCTGCCGTGCAGCGCATTCTCGGGCACCGTGCCACGCCTGGGGAGAGGGAGCCGGTTAGTGATTGGACCTCGAAGCCCCCACAGATCAACGAGAATCACAAACCCAGGTCTGCTGTAGCAGGTGTTTTTCGGGTGACAGCAGTTCCTGTTATTGGAATGGGCGCGGGAGGCGCTCCCAAGCACACATGATGTAATCCAGGTCCCACTTATCCCAGTCCTGCCAATGTCCGTTCCGTGTGCGTTGTGGATGGGCAGGCGCCGCAGGTGCACAGGGCCACCGTGGTATCGAAGCCCACGCAGGGCTCCGACAGCGGTGACGAGACGCCGAGGGAGGCGCGGGGAGGGGCAGGAGGAGAGGGAGGGAGGGATGGGAGAGCAAGAGCGAGGGAGGGATGGAGGGAGGGAGAAAGGAGGAGGATGATGATGATGAGGAGGAAGAGGAGGAGGAGGAAGAGGAGGAGGAGGGTAGGCCGCGATCGTGGATCTCTTCGGCCATCAACAATCGGCAAATAGGAAGAGGAGGAGGAGGAGGAGGAGGAGGAGGAGGAGGAGGAGGAGGAGGAGGAGGAAAGGACGGAAGGGGTGAACTTCAGGAAAGAGGGAGGGAGGGAGTTGGAGGGCGAAGGAGGGAAGATGAGTCAGAGGGGGGCGAGTGGCGAGGGGGAAGGGCGGCACGCTGGGGCGCGCGTTCCTGGAAAGGCCTCTTCGCCCATAGGGGTAATGGGTTGACCACTCTCCCCTGGCGGACGCTGGCGAGGGGACTGCAGAAGCCGGCGGAAGGTAAGCGAGGGCGGTTCCGCTGGTGGAAGCTCTGCGGCAGGCGGCGGACGTGGACACCGAACCACTGAGAGAGGCTCATGCTTGCGTCTTTTAGAGATTCCGCAGCGCGCCTGTGCACTTAGCCTTCAGGCGAAGACCAGATCAACAAGCCGAGGTGGCGACGTAGCGACACGAGACACTTGGAAATGCGACCGCGATCGAGGGAGGAGGATGATGAGGTGGAGGCGGCGGAGGAGGAGGAGGAGGAGGAGGAGAAATCGGAGGATGCGGCCTGGCGAGGCTCGGTGTACGCGCCAGGAGGAGGGTGCGGAGGAGATGCTTGTGGTCGTATTGAGGGTTTTGGGGTTTGCATGTTGAGTGACACGCGAGCAACGCAGAGGGAACAGAACCTCTGAAACAAATCTACTGTTGATTCTCCCTCTCCAGTAACTTGTGTGTTTCCAATTGAGGTGCCCCTCCCGGGGATCGCGCCCTGTTTTTGTCAGGGTTAGCCTTGGGTCTTCAATCTGCGTTGTTGGCCACCGAACTATTACACAAACGGTTCCTGCTTCCTGACATTTCATCGCAGTTGATTGGAGAATCGCGCTCTCGCTCTGGATTTCCTTGCGCTCCCCCCCGGAGTCGCGCTCTCGCATGGGACTTCCACACAATTTGTTCAGACGCCGCGCCCTCGACACTCAGGAATCACGCTCTTGCACTGGACCTGCTCACGATTTACTTGGGAATCGCGCTGTCTCTAGAGACTTCCGCGCGATTCATGCAGGACCCACGCTTCAGCGACCCGCCCGCTCGACCCAGCCGTCTGGGCCCGCCTGCCCGGGTCCGCCCGCCCGATGCGCCTGACTGGTTCTGCCGTTTGGTTTCCTGCTCCTAACCCTCCCTCCTTCTAATCTCTCTCGTTCTCCATCCTTCTCCCTCCTCCTTGCCCCCTTCGTCCTCCCTTTCGCACTCCCCTCTGCGCAATCAGTTTGTCCCTGTGTACCTCCTCTTCGTGTGTTAGGGGCCGCGCCAACGACACGTGGCAGGTCAGGAGATTTACCCCCAAGGGGAGGTACGATCGAAGCCGAAGAGGGCGGGTATCGAGAGTTGGGGAGTCACATGTTGGTTGGCACGCGAGCAGATAAGAGCGAGCAGTCTTGCAAGGCTTGTCGGATTCTCATCTCTAAAGAACTATGATTGGCGCCCTCTGGTAAAACGTACAGATATGCATAAACATATAAACGACTGCAGTGGCGCTTCGCGCCGTGCATCTGGGCCCTTCAAGTTCGGCATGCAGGCAGGCAGAAAGGCAGGACGGTATACCACCATAACATTTAGAGACCACTCCTCGTTGCCTTTCCCATCATCGTCGTTATAGTGATGTTATCCAATATCCTTCCCTCATGGTTCCTCTTTTTCTTCCTCATTCTTGCCCTACTCTGCGAGTTCTTCTCCACCCCCTTAGCTCTTTCTGCGGGGGCTCCCCCTTGGAGGACCTCTCGGGGCCTCACGAAAGGAAGGCTTTTGGGGGCCTTGCGGAGGCCTCCTGGGCGCCTTCTGGGGGCTTCTGGTGTCTTCCTCGGGACACCCTGCTTCCTACCGCGGTCTCCCTAAACGACGGGGTAATGATTTGTGCTTCGGGGGGCATCTTGGGGCCATCTTGGGCCGTCATGGGGCTCTCGTCGGGCCATGTTAAGGCCCTGTGGGGCCGTATTGGGGCTCTCCTGGCCGGTCTCGGGCGCCCGGAAGACCGAAGAACAGAGCATTTTCCCCAAATCATACAACAGCTCGTGAGAAAGCCATGTTTTTTTACGTTTCGAAGGCCTCTTGGGAGTGTTCTTTGCCAGCCACGTGCAGAGGTGGGTAGGGGCATGGGTGTTCTCTTGGGCTCTCTCGGCGGGTTTGACATATATGCCTTTTGACAAAGGAGTAGAGAGATAGAGGGATATATTGATAGATGAATATTTCCCCAATCGGAGCTTGCCTCTGTAGGGGTCCTAGCGGATTTAAGTGTAGGTGAGGTGTGCCGCCGATTCGGTGGCCGGGCCCGGGTGCCCGGGTGCCCGGGTGCCCGGGTTCGCCGCCGATTCGGTGGCCGGGCCCGGGTGCCCGGATGCCCGGGTGCCCGGGTGCCCGGGTGACGGGTGCCTGGTGCCCGGGTGGGTGTCCGGGTGCCGGGCGCTGGGTGCCCAGGTGCCCGGTGCCCTGTAGCCCTATAGCTTTATAGCCTTATATCCCTATCGCCCTATAGCCCTATAGCTCTATAGCCCTATAACCACTATAGCCATATAGCCATATAGCCATATAGCCCATATAGCGCCCAAGAGCCCATATAGCCCTGTAGCCCTATAGCCCTACAGCCCTAAAAAGATTATGATTGGGTTTTTCTTTGGTATCATTGTATACATAGATATACATATATATATATATATATACAGATATATTCCTCAATCAGAGCTTGACTCTGTAGGGGTCCTAGCGGATTCATATGGTTAGGTTAGGTTTGCCGCCGATTTTCGCTGCACTCCCGGGTGCCCGGGTGCCTGGGGGTGCCCGGGGGTGAGGTTGGCCGCCGATTTTCGCTGCACGCCCGGGTGCCCGGGGGGTGCCCAGAGGTGCCTGGGTGCCCGGGTGCCCGGGTGCCCGGGTGCCCGGGCGTGCCCGGGGGTGCCCGGTGGTGCCCGGGGATGCCCTATAGCCCTATCGGGGGTGCCCGGGGGTGCCCTATAGCCCTATAGCCCTATAGCTCAATAGCCCTATAGCCCTATAACCCCCTAGCCCTGATTGGGTTTTTCTCTGTTATCATATGTGTATGTATGTATGCATGTATGTATGTATGTATTTATGTATGTATGTATGTATGTATGTATGTATGTATGTATGTATGTATGTATGTATGTATGTATGTATGTATGTATGTATGTATGTATGTGTGTATGTATGTGTATGTATGTATGTGATGTATGTATGTATGTATGTATGTATGTATGTATGTATATGTATGTATGTATGTATGTATGTATGTATGTATGTATATATGTATATATGTATGTATGTATGTATGTACGTATGTACGTATGTACGTATGTACGTATGTACGTATGTATGTATGTATGTATGTATGTATGTATGTATGTATGTATGTATGTATGCATGCATGCATGCATGCATGTATGTATGTATGTATATATATATATATATGTGTACAGATGTTCCCCCATCAGAACTTGCCTCTGTAGGGGTCCTAGCGGATTCATATGGTTAGTTGAGCTTTGCCACCGATTTCCGCGGCTCGCCGGGGTGCCTCAGTGCCCGGGTGCCCGGGTGCCAGCGTGCCCGCGTGCCCAGGTGCCCCGGTGCCCAGGTGCCCGGGTGCCTTAGAGCCCTACAGCCCTATAGCCCTACAGTCCTATAGCCCTGTAGCTCTGTAGCCCTATAGCCCTATAGCCCTATAGCCCTATAGCCATATAGCCCCATAGCCCAATAGCCCTATAGACCTATAACCCAATAGCCCTATAGCCCTATAGCCCTATAGCCTTACAGCCCTATAGCCCCATAGCCGAATAGCCCCATAACCGTATAACGCAACAGCCCTATAGCCCTATAGCCTTACAGCATTCTAGTCCTATAGCCCTATCGCCCTAAAGCCCAATGTTTCTATAGCCCTATAGCCCTATCGCCCTAGCGCCCTATTCATTTATAGACCTATAACACTATAGCCCTGTAGCCCTATAGCCCTACAGCCCTGTAGCCCTATAGCCTTATAGCCCTATAACCCGATAGCCTCATGGCCCCATAGCCCTATAGCCCAACAGTCCTAGAGCCTTATAACCCTATAGCCTTACAGCCTTGTAGCCTTACAGCCGTATAGCCCAATACCCTCGTAGCCCTATAGCACTATGGCTCTATATGCCCTATATCCCTATAGCCCTATAGCCCTATAGTTCCACAGCCCTATATCCCTATAGCCCTATAGCCCTATGGTCCTATAGCCCTATAGTCCCATAGCCCTATTAGAACGAATGTGCGCGGCGCTAAGGCGAGAGCCACTTTTAAAAAATCACCCGCTCTCCACATATGAAAAGGATGTCATTTTTGAAACTTCAGAATCAGAACTGGTGAGGCAGTCTCAGGCAAAACGCCCGGCCCGCCCGCCCTAAACACTTGTCCTGGGGTGCGACAGGGAGAAGTTATGTCCCAATCAGAGCTTGCCTCTTTAGGGGTCCTAGCGGATTCATTCCCCAATCAGAGCTTGCCTTTGTAGGGGTCCTAGCGGATTCATTCCCCAACCAGAGCTTGCCTCTGTAGGGGACTAGCGGATTCATTCCCCAATCAGAGCTTGCCTCTGTAGGGGTACTAGCGGATTCATTTGGTTAGGTGAGCTTTGCCACCGATTTCCGCGGCCCGCCCGGGTGCCCCCGGTGCCCAGGTGCCCGGGTGCCCAGGTTCCTGGGTGCCCGGGTGCATGGGTGTTTTACAGCCCTATAGCCCTATAGCCCCATAGCCCTATAGCCCTATAGCCTTATAGCCCTATAGCCCCATCGCCCAATAGCCCTATAGCCTTATAGCTCAATAGCCGTATAGCCCTATAGCCTTATATCGCCCTAAAGCCGTATAGCCCTATAGCCTTATAGCCGTATAGCCGTATAGCCTTTTAGCCCTATAACCCTATCGCCCTAGAGCCCTATATCCCAATTGCCCTATAACCCTATAGCCCTATAGCCTTATAGCCTTAGAGTCCTATATCCTTACGTATAGCCGTGTAGCCCTATTGCCCTAGGGCCCTATAGCTGTATAGCCCTATAGCCCTATAGCCCTATAGCCCTATAACCCTGTAGCCCTATAGCCCCATAGCCCATAACCTTACAGCCCTATAACCCTATAGCCCTATAGCCTCATAGCCCTATAGCCCCATAGCCCAATAGCCCTGTAGCCCTATAGCTTTATAGCCTTATAGCTTTCTAGCTCTATAGCCTTATATCCCTATAGCCCTATAGTTCTGTATGCCTACAGCCCTATAGCCCTATAGCCCCATAGCCCTATATCCCTATAACCCCATAGCCCTACGGTGCTATAGCCCTATAGCCCCATAGCCCTGTTTAGAACGTGTGTGCGTGGCGCTAAGGCGGCAGTCACATTTCAATAACCACCCGCCCTTCATATGTGAAGCTGTTGCAAATTTTTACGCTTCAGAATCATGAGTGGTGAGGAAGTCTCAGGCGAAACGCCCGACCCGGCCTAAAAACTGGCCTCGGAATGCGACAGGGAGACGTTATTCCCCAGTCAAAGCTTGCCTCTGTTGGGGTCCTAGCAGATCCATTCCCCAATCAGAGCTTGCCTCTGTAGGGGTCCTGGCGGATTCATTCCCTAATCAGGGCTTGCCTCTGTAGGGGTCCAAGCGGATTCATATGGTTAGGTGAGCTTTGCCACCGATTTCCGCGGCCCGCCCTGGTGCCCAGGTGCCCGGGTGCCCGGGTGCCCAGGTGCCCAGGTTCCTGGGTGCCCGGGTGCACGGGTGTTTTAAAGCCCTATAGCCCTATAGCCCTATAGCCCTAGAGCCCTAGAGTCCTATAACCCTATGGCCTTATAGCCTTTTAGCCCTATAGCCCCATAGCCCTATAGCCCCATAGCTCTATAGCCCTATAGCCCTATAGCCCAATAGCCCTATAGCCCTCAAGCCCTATAGCCTTATAGCCTTCTAGCCCTATAGCCCTATAGCTCTAGAGCCCTATAGCCCTATAGCCCTATCGCCCTAGAGCCCTATATAGCTCTATAGCCCCATAGCCTGACAGCCGTATAGCCCTATAGCCCAATCGCCCTGTAGCTCTATAGCACTATAGCCCTATAGCCCTATAGCCCTATAGCCTTATAGCCTTCTAGCCCTATAGCCCTATAGCCCTAGAGCCCTATAGCAATATAGCCCTATCGCCCTAGAGCCCTATATAGCTCTATAGCCCCATAGCCTTACAGCCGTACAGCCCTATAGCCCAATCGCCCTGTAGCTCTATAGCACTATAGCCCTATAGCCCTGTAGCCCTATAGCCCTATAGCCCTATAGCCTTTCAGCCTTAAAGCCCTATAGCCGGGTAGTCCTCTAATTCTAGTTGCCTTAAACCCTATATCCCTATAGACCTGTAGCCCTAGGCCGGTATAGCCCTATGGTCCTAAAACCCTATAGCTCCATAACCCTATAGACCTATAGCCCTATGGTCCTACAGCCCTATAGCCCTATAGCTCCATTGCCCCATAGCCCTACAGCCCTATAGACCTATAGCCTTATGGCCCTATAGCCCTATAGCCCCATAGCCTTATAACCCTAAAGAGATTATGATTGGGGCTCTTGTCTCCGGTATCACTCATATACATGAGAAAGAGAGGGAGAGAGATGGAGAGCGAGAGAGACAGAGAGAGAGAGAGAGAGAGAAAGAGAGATAGCTTGAGACAAGGGTAGGGGAGGAGGGGACCGTTTCCTGCACGCGAGGCGTTTTGCTTGGCGGGGGGAGGGAGGGAGGGTTACAGAGATTTTTGTTCGCTTGTTGTATTAATGTATAAACAATCATTAACGTACATATATATATATGAACATTTTATATGTATATAAAGTCAGTTACAGGTTTCCCCAGTGTTGGACCAGGGAACCTGTGACACTACTCAAGCAACGAAAACATGAACAACAGACACATATATCAGGCGAGACTGCCAAACATCAAACATCAAAAGTTTTGTGGGATCCGGGGCTGGAGGGGGCCTCCAGAGGAGGGAGGATGGGGACGTGTTTCTAATGACAGTCACAGGTTTCATTATTGTTGTGCCACGGAGCTTGTGAAACTATCAGAAGAGCGAACCAACAATCAGAGGTTTTCGGGATCCTGGGCGGGGGAGGTTCCGGCAGGCCCTGGCCCTCCCCCATCTGAGGTCCCGAACCTTTTCTTTTCGGGATTTGTTATCTTTTTGGTTTTCATGTGCATTTTCGGTAGTATCCGGCTTTGGTAGCTCTATGATGAGAAAATCTGGAGTGTCAAGTTTAACGGGATAACATTTTTCAACGACAGTGCCAGGTTGCCTTCTCTTAGAGCTGCGAAGCTGTGACACTACCAAACGGAAGCAAACAGACAACAACACTGTCAGACGAACAAAAAGCCAAACATCATCGGTTTTTGGGATCCCAGGCGGGAGGGGGGGGCTTCGCTTCCGCCAGCCCTGGCCCTCCCCCGCCTGGCATCCGGACAACTTTTTGATATATATATATATATATGTTTGTATATATATATATATATGTTTGTTTGTATGTATGTATATATTTATATATAGATATATACTTCTATGTCTGTAGCCTCTCACATTTTTTTTTTTATGATTTTGGGAATATCAATGGTTTCGTAGCTCTGAAATGAGGAAACCTGTGACCATCATTGAAAACGAATCAAGTCCAGTGATGAACCACTAACCATTGGGACTCCCAGAATCAGTATATCTGCTCGCGAAGGAAAGCCCTTGTATTGATTTCTGTTTGTTCCCAGTTGTAGGGATTTTTTCGAGTGTAGTCAGTTCTTATTGTTTTCCATTGTATACATTACGTATTGTTTCCAATTCTGATGATTTAGCTTTGGATTTGTGTGGACTTCGTATAGTCTTCAATTGCATTGTTTTCTTATGTGTGTGTCCCCTGTATGTATTCCCTGGTCCCCTGTATGTATTCCTTGGTGGTGGGGTGGGGTAGGAAGACCAGGGGGATGGGGAGAGGGGATGCGGGAGGGGGAGGGGGGGATGATGGGTTGGAGAGGGAGGCCAGTTGAGGCGTTGAGGAAAGCGCGTCGAAGACCATATACGGACGTGGCACCAGTCGTTATGTTCACCGTCTGTCTATCGCTCCCGTTGTTTAGAAGTATCTTTGCCACTGCGTCCAGATCCGCTTCGATCTCTGCTACGGGCCGCTTCAAACTACCACCTCCGTCCCAAACTGTTGCTCATGCTCTTCGCTTCTTGTTTCGGCAATAACCGTATTCTGGTGGTTCGAAACGATTTCAGTGGAGTCCGTCAGCTTCCCGGGTCCGCGGGCCGTCATGTAGGTGCGGTCGTCTAGGTCTATGGTTTATTGTTTGCTTTTTTTGTTGGGGGGGGGGGTTCTTCTCTTCTCTTTCTCTCTCTCTCTCTCTTTTTGTTGTTTCTCTCTCTCTCTCTCTCTAGCTCTCTCTGTCTTTCTCTCCCAATGTACTTATATGCACATAGATGTTATCTTGCCTTCTCATTGTGGCTGTCGCTGTAGCCCTTCTTGTGCTACCGGGAGGTACATGATGGCGTGACCTCCGAACAGGTGGCTGCAGGATTGGAGGGCTCGAGGGCACGCAATTCCCCTGGGCCTTCACGTATTATCTATCCTCCTTCGCCTCCTTCTCTACCTTCGCTTTCCCCTTTCCTTTCTCCTCCTCCTCCTCTTCCTCCTCCTCTCCTTCCTCTCCCCCTTCCTCCTTTTCGGGAAGGTGGCGTCCGCTGCCACCGTGGCGTTCAGCGTGTCAAAGCATTGCAACCAGCAGGTGAAAGATTTACCGAAAGAACTCGTCGGCCGCGCGGTCAGGCACGATCGAAGACCCGTTGTAATCATCGATGCGGCGCCTCCTCCTCCTCTCTCCTCCTCCTCCTCCTCCCTCCTCCCCCCCTTTGTCCCCTCCTCCCCCTCCTTCCCCTCCTCCTCCTCCTCCTCCTCCTCCTCCTCCTCCTTCCCCTTCTCCTCCTCCTCCTCCTTCCCCGTCTCCTCCTCCTTGAGGCCGTCGCGACAGAGCTACCCCATGCGTCGTCCCGCGAGAGAACAATCTCCTCCTCGCCCTCCTCCTCCTCCTCCTTCTTCCCGCCTTTCACTCGCCCTCCTCCTTCGCATTACTTGCTTCACCGTGTTCGCAGCTGCACACAGCTGGGTCCTTCGCCAGGATAGTTGTCTTGGTCCGCCGCGGAGGGAGGGCTGTCGCGGTCGAAGCTACGGCGGGCTGCGCAGTAGCGCGATGCGCCTGCACAAACGGAAGAGGAGGAGCAGCAGCCGCGGAGACGTCTTCGGGAGAGGATCGTCGGAAAAGGGCAGGCAGAGGGAGAGGCTTCAGCGGCTTTCGGGGGTGGTGTGGGAGGTCAAAGAGCTGGCGTGCGCCGTTGGGCCTCCCCAGCTGGTCTCGTTGGATGGCCTCGGCGGCCTTCGGGGGTCCCCGAAGGCAGTCGGCGGTCTCCGGACGCCACTGGAGGCCTTCGGAGGTCTTCTGGAGGCCCTCAGGCCTTCTTGGGTGGCGTCCGTGGCAGTTCCTGGAGGCTCCTGGAGGGGGTCGGGGCCCTCTGGAGGTCCCTCGAGGTCCCCGGGGATCTTCTGAGCCTAGGAGGGCTTCGAGGGCCCTCGGGAGGCGCCCGCGACCGTCGGAGGCCTCCGGAGAGCCTCGGAGGCCCTCGGAGGTCCTCGGACGCCTGCAGTGTCCGGGAGTCCCTCCGAGACCTTCGGGGGAGGTCTCTCGAGGCCCCTCGGGTGGCCTGCAGTGTTGTGCGGGGGCTCAGTGGTCCTCGCGTTGTTTCGTGTCCGCCTCGCTCGACGGTGGCCTCCCGGGGCTCTCTGAGGTCTTCGAGGTCTACACGTTGTTCATTTCTAATTCTTCGGAAGTTCTGTGATGTTTTTTGGGGCCAGGATCCTTTCATTTCTAATTGTTCTATCCTGGGCCCTGTCCTGGCCACTGGGGGGCCAGAAACAATTAGTAACGAGCACAATTAGAAATGAGCACGATTAGAAATGAACGACGTGTGCTCCTCCAGCGGGTGCTCGGGCCCACGCTGAGTCTCCCAGCTGCCAGCTGGAGGACGTGCGATGGCCAGGCACGTGCTGGAGCCGTCGGAACCCTCGGGCTGGATGGTGTGCTTTCCCGCTGGCAACGAAGGCCTGGCACATGCTCTCCACTCCTCTCCCCCCCTCTCCCTCTCTCCCTCTTCCTCCCTGCGCCCTTCACCTCTGCTGTGTCCTCTCTCCCTGCCCTTTCAGCGGCCGTAATTAGCCGCAGATGGCTTGCATGGCTGGGGTCGGGCCGAGTCGGCCCACAACGGAGGATCCCCTCCGATCCGACAGTCGTCCCAGGCCCTGGCCCGTGCCGAGGCCAGTGCTGCCCAGGGAGCGGGGTCGTGGAGGGGGCACTCGTCAACGGGCCGCGGGGGAGCGGTCGGGTTGAGCCGGGGCGAGTGCCACGGCCCCCCCTCCCCCCACCCTCCCTGGGCCCTTCTCCCTCCTCTCTTCCTTGCCTTCTCCCCCTTCTCCCCCTCTCGTTCCTCCTGGGGAGGCTTCGCCCCCCCCCCCCCGCCCATTCAGAGTCCCCACCTGCGGGTGATGCGACCTGGAGGGGGGGTGGGGGGACCCGGTGGAGCCCAGGCGTATGGAATGGCGAACTCCACGCTGGTTTCCCCCCTCCGCACGGCCAATGGAACGCACTTCGTGGGTTCACTGCGTCCGTCGCAGGGCCTCAGCATCCCTCTCCCTCATTTCCCGCTTTCCTTCCTTGTCTCCCGCCTCCTTCTCCTCCCCTCCTCGTCTCCCCCCTTCTCTTCCTCTCTCCCTTCCCCTCCTTGCCTCCAGGCCTCCTTTTCCCCTGCCATGCTCGACTGCTGGGAGGGGTCTGGGCGACAGGTGGGATTTCCCCAATGGTCATCTCACTGGTCGTTGCTTACTGCAGCCGTCCCTGAGGGAGGCCTCGCCTAACTCAGCTTCGCGGAAAGGGCTCCTACACCTAGAGGCTCGACACGTAGATTTTCTCGGGCAAACCCAACCAACCCTCCTCCCTCCTCCTCCTCCTCCTCCTCCTGCTACTCCTCCTCCTCCTCCTCCTCCTCCTCCCTCCATATTGTTCCTGATAGGTAACCCATCCCTGTCGCGTCCCCAGACGTGTCGGAAGGGCGGCAGGGCGTCTCGCTCGAGAATTCCTAACAAGTCATAGTCCCGAAGCTTGTCATTTGCAATCTTTTCACGGATGGAGGGCGATCCGTTTTTAAAATGTGGCTCTCGCGTTAACGCCGCACACACTTGTCTGAACAGTTGGCAGCCGTTTCAAGGATGGAGGGTGGTTGCTTTTCAAATTGTAGCTCTCGCTGTGGCGCCGCGTGCATTCGTCTTACAAATTTGCAGGAGTTTCACAGCTTCTCTTGGGTTAGTATCAGGAGTGGTGCTCTGCCATTATTTAGGAATGTCAGGACGCAGCAGTTTATGTCGGTTCGCGGTGTTCGTGCACGATTTAGGACTGAGGACGCAACAGTCGCAGTCATTCTCGGCGTTGGAGTTCCAGGGGTAGTGCTTTGGCATGGTTGAGAATTCTCAGATGGTTGTCTTCCAATCGGGCACTTCCCGCGATGAAAACAATTGTTGTAGGGACCTGTGAAGAGGGAACTTGGAGGAATGGTTTCCTGCAGCGCCGTTGATGCATCTTGGGTTTAGACTGGTCCTCCCTCCTCCTCCTCCTCTTCCTCCCTCCTCCGTCCTTCTCCCCTTCTTTCCTCGTGCTTTTCATCATCGTATGATTATGTCTCTTATTCCTTTCCCTCCCTGTCCGTGCCATTTTTTTCCTCAAGGTGTGGCTCGATTGTAAGTGATTTTGACCACTGTTTTTTCCCCGCTGTCTCTATCCGACAACTCCTACGTCCCCCCCGTCATGCGAATGCGCTGCTGCTGCGCTCCATGACTCACGCTGTGGGCCGCCATGCGCAGGACATCTCGTTGCTTGCACGGGGCATGACGCAGCAGCAGACACATTTGAGTTACCAGACAGCAACCTCGATCATGCGTGTCGGCGCGGCCTGCCGCATCATGCTTCAGTTGAAGTGCCTCAAGATCCAAATGTTCCCAAACCAAGTCTTGTACGAGCTCAAATGCTTCAAACTGCTAGCTGGAAATGACGCGCATACATGGCTCGACCGTCGCCGGCATGGTGGACTCGCTGGTGACAATTCGCTGGCACATGGGTCGCGCAGGCTCGCAGTCGGAGCTGGATTTCACGGGAATCTGTCCGCCTCGGGGTATCTTACCGTTTCCGTAGTGCTTCGCCTCGGACAGTGAGCGAGAGGCGATGGGACATTTACCTAGCTTCTTCGACATCTCCGATGGCTGCGCCACTGTTGGTGCGCAGACTGACCAGTCGATGATGTCTACCGCTCCACCCAGATGCCGCTCATGCCCTACCGCTGGTCCGAGATCGCCGCAGGGGTACGCCTGGGGCCTGCTGCCGAAGCCGCTGCTGGTTTCGCCCTGGCTGGCGCCATTGTGTCCGCGGACGAGAGGTTGCAATTAGCTGGGGCCCTCGCGCCAGCAGCTGAGAAGCCCATGCCGGCTGAGGCCTTCCCGAGGCCGAAGCACAAGCAGCAGAAGAAAGAGTAAACGCGTTCGAAGAAGACGAAGCTGGCTGAGGCTGCAGTGTCAGCAGCAAACCAGGCTGTTGGGCTCTCTTGTCCGGGATTCCCGTTCGGCATGCTTCCTCAGAAGGAAGAGCAAATGACAGTGGGAAGCTGGCTGCGGAGGCGAAGCCGTCAGTTGACCTCCCGTGGCAGGGATACCCTCTCGGCCCGCCCCCAGAGAGATGGATCAGAAGGCCAAGAAGCAGATGAAGCCGGCTGCCGCGGCGGCACCGTGTATTGACCTCATTTGGTCAGGATACCCTTTCGTGCCGCCCCGCCAGATAGCTGCGGCGGTTCCTCCCCCGTGTTTGGGTGCCCCCAAACGGCGTGGTGACCACACCGCGTGGTGAGTCAGTGGAGATTCGGGGTCACCACGCGGCTTTGTGATTCGAGTCGTTTTCCGAGGATGTCTCGAGCCACTGGGGCCTCCGAGGTCCCAAAACCGATCGGTGACGGACCGCGCGGCGAGGCCGTTTGGGATTCCGAGGTCACCGTGATGTCCGTCACCAAACGGTTTTGGGGTCCCGAGCTTGTGCTCCTGCATCTGGTGTTGCGAACTGGCCGGCTTTCTCCTTTCAGTTTCTGTTCCGGCCCGGCGATTGCATTGCATGCGGCAAGCTGTTGCCTGGGACACCGGCCTGCTCGTGGAGCTGTGTTCTCGACAGCCTGTGGACGGATCTCTGGCGGGGCAGTGTGCCTCACCCTTCTCCTTCTCCTCCTCGTCCTCCTCCTCCTCCTCCTCCTCCTCCTCCTCCTCCTCCTCTTAGTGTTATTGTAAGTTGCCTTAATGTCCGCTTCGCTTCTTGTCCACCTGCCCTCTTGTCCCTTGCTCGCGTCGTGTCCGCTTTCCTCTTCTTCAGGCGCTGGGGCTCCTCCTCTTCCGTCATTGCGACAGCAAGGGCGGCAGAAATCACTGCAGCTGGTGAGCTGTGCGAGACCCTGGGAGGAGTGAGGTTCCAGCTTGAACGCGAAGATCGTAGTGTTGTGCGGTCGGACCGAGGTATGAGATCGAGGTCGGTTCGGGGAGGGTGCCCTAATGCCGTTCGTGCTTGTTGAATGTTCTTGTGCATTATTGGGGAGGGTACCCTCGAATCTTCTTCAGTTTGGCCAGCGGAGGGTCTCAGGTTCTCTGAGGATGTTTTTCTGTCTTAGGTCCGGCCGTAGTAGTTGGTCTAGAGCGTGATCCTCGTCCTGGTGAGTGCCAACCCCGCGTGGCGTCGCGACGCATTCGCCTCGATCGTTCAGGGTATTACGAGCGGTCGATTTTACTTTCTCGTGAGGGTTGGTAGATTTACACTTACACCCATTTGAAACCTTAGACATATCAGCTTTCATGGACTCCAGATCTTGTTCAAGAAAATACAGAATCTGGACTGGAACCTGGGCGTTTCTTGGAGCTTGTTTTTGTTCGTAGGACGTTTGTAGATCTGGGCCTGGACTACTGCCTTCCAGTGAAGTCTATCTTCTCGGCCTGAAGCGTTCTTGATTTTAGGCAGGGGTGTAGTCTCCCACCCAGAACCCAGAACCGTCCTCCTCTTCCTCCTCCTTTTCTGCCGTTGCTCGGATACTGTTGCGTGTTTACACGGTGTAGGAAAATCGCAGACTTCGGCGAGGTAACAAACTAATTCGGCCGCGGACGCCTCCTCCTCCTCCTCCTTCTGTCCTGGTTTTGAATTTGGCAATATTGGTGAGTTGCAAGCACAGTTGAATGGTGCCCCGATGGCTTGGAGCCTAATCGCGCTCTGCAGTTGGCTAGGCTGCTGGATCATGAGCCCGCGTATGCAGAGGCCCTCCCACTCTGTATATTCGGCTGCCCGCACGCCCCTGATGCCAGTTCTCACTATATCCTGGAGTGTCTCCGCATCCAATGGGTTGCGTCCATGTCGCTTCATGCCATTCTCCCGTCCGATCCGCTATTCACCCTCGGCCTCCGTGGCGGCTCCTTGGCTTTCATTGTCGCGTTATATCACTCGTACCGCGTTGCATCGAGGCAGCCAGCTTTGCCCCTTTCTGCTGCTCGCGCGACAGAGTTCATAGGTGCGGTTCGGATTGCCACTCGTCTTCCCACCAGGGGACGACACAGGCATGTCCTGTCCCGAGCCCACCTCGACAAGGTCATGGCGGAGGCGCGTGGGGAGGTAGAGTAGCTCAGTCAGGGCCCGACGTCTTCGGCCACGCTACACCTTCTCCTCTTCCTCTTCCTCCTCCTCCTCCTCCTCCTCCCCCTCCTCCTCCCCCCTTCCTCCTGGAGGAGAGAGCCACAAGCAGCGCGACGCCCTCGTGCTGCTGCAGGAGCGGCGCATGCGCGGGATGCTTCAGGAGGAGGCCCCCACGCCGCGCCCCGCGGGGGCGCTGCGGCACCGGAGGGGCCGAATGCCCGTCGGTGAGGGGCCGAATGCCCGTCGGTGAGGACGACGGGCACGATGATGACGATGACGACGATGTGATGATGATACTGCTGTTGATGGTGATGACGAGTATGAGGAGGATGATAATGATGATGACGATGACGATGACGATGACGATGATTATGATGATGACGATTATGATTATGCTGATGATGCTGATCATGCTGATGGTGACGATACGGCTGATGATGACGATGATGCTGATGCTGATGCTGATGGCGATGGCGACGATGACGACGATGGTGATGATGGTGACGACGGTGGTGATGACGATGTTGTTGCCGGTCATGGTGATGATGATGGTGATGGTGATGGTTATGATGTTGCCGATGATGATGATGATGATGATGATGATGATGATGATGATGATGATGATGATGATGATGATGATGATGACGATGATGACGATGATGATGATGATGATGATGACGATGATGTTGTTGTTGTTGTTGATGGTGATGATCATGGGTGGTGGCGGTGGTGGTGGTGGCGGCGGCGGTGGTAGTCATAATCTTGGTGGTGATGACGAGAGTGAGGAGGGTGCTATCTAGACTTCCGCTGTGCGGCTGGGTATGATGTTCAGCAGGACGGGGGCAGGGCACGTATGAGGGGCAGGGCTGGCAGGAGGAGGGAAATCTTTGCGGGAAGGGGGGCCATTCTGTGCCGCCCTTGCACGGCGATGCCACTTGTTTTTTTGACGACGCTGATGGTAGTGATGGTGATGACGACGAAAACGATGGTAGTGGTGGTGATGGTGATGACGATGGTGTGGATAATATGTATCCGTGTGTCCGTGTGTCTGTGCTTCTGTGTGGGTGTTATCACGGCGGCCGTCGCACCTTACCACCCCCCGACAGTTCATGTTTCACCAGCGGTAGGATTTCCCTCGTCTTATTCCTCCCCTGTAGCGGGGTATGCCAGCTGGTGTAGCCATCCCTGTGCTGGACTTCCGCCCGTCCGGATTCCAGTGTTTCGATCCAGGACATCAGAATACCGCCTGCGGGCTGAGGCTCCAGCGAACCGCAGGAATGCGCGAGATTTTTCCAATCAGTCAGAATTCCGTGGGAAATCATGGATTTTGCCCTCTTGGGGCCCTCTTGGGGCCCATCTTGGAGCCCTCGTGGGGCGCACTGGAGGCCTCTTCGGCCATCCGGAGGTCGTCTCGGGCCGTCTCGGAGAGCCATTGGGCCGTGTAGGGGTCTGTTGGTCTGTCCTGGGGTCCTTTTGGGAGCCTCTTGGCTCGTCTTGGGGGTCTGTGGCCACAGGGGCAGTCGGGCGGCTCACTCCAGGAGGCATCCGGAGCACCCCAGGGAGTCCGTGAGGGGTCTGGGCCCCCTGAATAATATCCAGTGATGAACAATAAGGATCGGGGCGGCCTCAGGAGACCCCGCCCGGTGTCTAGCGGTACGGTTGCGGATAGGAAGACTGTAGCACAAGGTTACATGCACATAGACATATCATTTACATTATGTACGTGCGTATATGTGCGTATTTGCACATATATATATATATCCACATATTTGTATCTATATATGTTATAGGCATGATCCAATCCATTCATACACACAGACCGATGCATGCACCGATACACGTATACATGATCAACTAGTCGTATATTTGGACACTTGTGTATGTGTTCCCTTCCATTTCTTCCTTCAATCCGTATAGTTTTATCTCTATGTACCTGTACCTTTTCCTTCTCTCGTTGAGGAGGAGGAGGAGGAGGAGGAGGAGGAGGAGGAGGAGGAGGAGGAGGAGGAGGAGGAGGAGGAGGGGGGAGGGGGAGCATGCTGACATTAGATCACGACGCCAGCGTGGCCCTGGGCGGGGCAGTACGCCAGCGGCATCGGAGCTCTCCTTCTGTGTCTTTCTCGCTCTTTTGTTTCCCTCTCTCTTTCGCTCTCTCTCTCTCTATCCCTTTCTTTCTACCTCTCCCTCCTCCTCTTCCTCTTCCCCCTCCTTTTATTCTCCCCCACCGTCATGTGTTGGTTTCTTTTTTTGAATCGAGCGCTGCTTGCGCGTCTCCCTATCCTCCTCGCTCCTCCTCTCCGACCTTCATCGCCTTCTACCTCCTCCTCCGCATGTCTCCTCCTGCATCCTGTGCGCTCAGTCGGGGGGTGCGATTTGCGCGAGTGTGGCCACTTTCGTGGGCTTCTGGGAGGTCCAGCAGAGTGGAGTTTTACGCGCATCCAGACGAGACTGTGCGGCTCCTTGGGTGGGTGCGAACTGCGCAACAGTCACCACTTTCGCCAGCTCCTAGGAGGTCCAGCGGAGCGGAGTTGTACGCGCATCCAGCCGAGACTTCGCGGCCCCTTTGGGGGCTGGCATCTGCGCAACAGTCGCCACTGTCCTAGGCGCCTGGGGGGTTTAGCGGAGTGTAGTTGTACGCGCATCCAGCCGAGACCTCGCGGTTCTCTGGGGGACAGGCAGCTGAGCAACAGTCGCCACTTTCGTGGGCTCCTGGGATATGGAGTGGAGATGTACGCGCATCCAGACGAGTCCTCGCGGCTTCATTGGGGGGGGGGGGGGCTACGAACTGCGCAACAGTCACCACTCTCGCCAGCTCCTGGGAGGTCCAGCGGAGTAGAATTGTACGCGCATCCAGCCGAGACTTCGCGGTCCCTTTCGGGGCTGGCAACTGCGCAACAGTCGCCACCTTCGTGGGCTCCTGGGAGGTCCAGCGGAGTGAAGTTGTACGAGCATCCGGCCGAGACCTCGCGGCTCTCTGGGGGACTGGCAGCTGAGCAACTGTCGCTTTTTTTGTGGGCTCCTGTGAGGTCCAGCGGAGTGGAGTTGTACGCGCAACCAGACATGACCTTGCGGATCCCTGAACGACTGCGAATTGCACCGGGTGGAGTTGTACGCGCATTCAGTCGAGACCTCGCGGCTCCTGTGTGGCTGGGAACTGCGCAATTGCCGCTACTTTTCGTGGGCTCCTGGAAGGTCCTGCGGAGGTGAGGGCAGCGCAGATCACTTCGAGACCTCGCGGCTCCCGTCGGGGGCTGCGAACTGCGCTACTTTCGTGGGCTCCTGCGGCGCACGGCGGAGTGCAGGGCAGCGCAGATCATTCGAGACCGCGGCTTCGCCGGGGGCTGCGAACTGCGCAACTGTCGCCAGCTCTGTGGCGCGGATCATTGGAGATCTCGCGGCCTACTCGGGGGCTGCGAGCTGCGCAACTGTCGCCGCCGTCGTGGGCTCGTTGGGGGCGCGAGGCACGGCGGCGTCGAGGGCTGCGCAGGATCATTTGAGACCTCGCGGCGGCCTTGGGGTCTGCGAGCTGCGCAACTGTCGCCACTGTCGTGGGCTTCTGGGAGACGCGGCGGAGTCGAGGGCGACGCAGATTGAGACCTCGCGGCGGCCTCGGGGTCTGCGAGCTGCGCAGATGTTGCTGGTTTTGTGGGCCTCGGGAGGCACGGCGGAGTGCAGGGCAGCGCGGAGCATTTGAGACCTCGCGGCTCCCTGGGGGGGCTGCGAACTGCGCAACCGTCGCCACTTTCGTGGGCTCCTGGGAGGCACGGCGGAGCGCAGGGCGCCCGCATGGCGCGTGCCCACATGGCGCGTGGCGCCGTCGCGTCATTAAGCTCGCGGCGCTGTTGCATCACAGAGCGCATGGCACCGGAACGTCACGTAGTGCATTGCGCTGTCCTTAGTGGCCCACTCTTGCGCATGTGTGCCACGCGCGTGGCCCGACATTGTTTCGGCGAAGAGTTTCACAGTGCTGTGTATCTCGCAATGTGTTCTTTTGTTTGGAGCACTCAAATAGATAGCCGCCTTGCGTGGAGAAAGGGTGGGGTACGTCTCGGGCAATTGTTCGTTTACCCCTCTCCCTCTATTCCTCTCCCTCGCCCTCTCGGCGCAAGCTGCCAGGTGATTCCAGGCCCCGGCAGCATCTACTCGCGCAGCATGACTCCTGGTCCTGGCTATTACGGAAGCTGGGGAGAAGCGGCGGGTGCGAGTGGAAGAGAGGCGGGAACGGAGACGCAATGCAGCAGGCGATGGGGGAGGCAAGATTACATACATCAGCGGGTTACAGGAGCGAAGACGTGCAGGCAAGGGAGGGGTGGGAGGTGTGTGTATGTTTGTGTGCATGTATGTATGTATGTATGTATGCATGCATGCATGCGTGCGTACATGCATGCATGCATGTATGTATGTATTTGTGTGTTTGTATATATGTATATATGTATGTATGTATGTATGCATGTATGTATGTATGTATGTATGTATGTATGTAGGTAGGTAGGTAGGTAGGTAGGTATGTCTCTAGGTATGTATGTATGCATGTGTGTATGTATGTATGTATGTATGTATGCATGTATGTATGTATGCATGTATGTATGTATGTATGTATGTATGTATGTATGTATGCATGTATGTATGTATGTATGTGTATGTATGTATGTATGTATGCATGCATGCATGCATGCATGCATGCATGCATGTATGTATGTATGTATGTATGTATGTATGTATGCATGTATGTATGTATATATGTATGTGTGCATGTATGTATGTGTGTGTGTAGGTGTGTATGTATCTATGCATGCATGTATGTGTGTATATATGTATGTATGTATGTACGTATGCATGCGTGTATGTACGTATGTACGTAGGTATGTATGTATGTATGTATGCATGCATGCGTGATTGCATGCATGTATATACGTATGTATGTATGTATGTATGTATGCATGCATGCATATATGTATGTATGTATGTATGTATGTATGTATGTATGTATGTATGTATGTATGTATGTATGTGTGTATGTATGTATGTATGTCTGCATGTATGTATGTATGTATGTATGTACGGACGTATGTATGTATGTATACATGTATGTATGTATGTATGCATGTATGTATATATGTATGTATGTATGTATGTATGCATGCATGCATGCATGCATGCATGCATGTATGTATGTATGTATGTATGTATGTATGTATGTATGTATGTGTGTATGTGTGTGTATGTATGTGTGTATGTGTGTGTGGGTGTGTGGCGCTGCGTGGCCCTAAGAGGTCACTGAGGGCTCGGGCGATGAGACGCGCGCGCGCTGCTGCTGGTTTCGACCTTCTCCGCCTCGACGCCGCGTGCGAGGCCGCGACGCCAAAAGTGTGTGTGTGACTGAGTGAGATGATGGAAGGACTGACGTGGACGGAAGGGATGGGGGAGTGGTGGATGAAATGAGGGGCCGGAAGGTTCGGGGAGAGGGGAAGGGGGTGAGGCAGGCAGGGGATATAACGAGTCAGCGGGGGAGGGGCTTGGAGAGGTTTGGGAAGGGAGGGATGGCTGGACAGGGTACGGGAAGTCTTGACGGGAGCAGCAGATGGGGGATGGGAGAGGAAGTGGATCGGGGTGGAGGGGGACTCCGAATAGGGAGAGTGGGCTTCGCTTTCTTGTCTTCCTCCGTTTGTTTTCCGTGTCTCTGCGTGTCAGGTCTCTGTATCGTTGCGTGTTGTTTGTCCTGCTGCATGATGTGTTGTTCTAGGCCGTGGTGTTCTCTTCCGTCAGCAGCAAGGGCCAGCGCATGTGTGCGTATCAGTGTCTTTGCCCGTCTCAGCATTTATGTTTGTGTCTCGACATTTGTGTTGGCGCTTGTGTTTGCATATGCGTGCCTGAGGACACTCCGCTCAGTGCTTACAGCATGGTGGCGGATAGATCGGTGATTGTAGCCTTGGGTTACTTCTGTGCCCTCAGTGCTGGAGCGAGGATCGCAGGGTGATGCATGACCAGTGGCAGCTGGGTGCCTTCTTCGCAAGATGGGCCCTCTCCCCCTCCCCCCTCCCCCCCCTCCCCTCCCTCCCCCACCGTCTCCCTTACTCTCCTGCCCCTGCCCCTCCCCCGCCTCCTCCCTTTGCCCCCGCTAGGCCATGCTCTGGCTGCCTTTCTCGCTAAGGCGGCGGGGCTTCTCAGAAGCCCCCCGGCCTTCTGAGCAGTTGTCTGAATCTTCGGGGAAGGATCGGACAACCCAAGCGGGCCCCAGGAGGAGGAGGAGGGAGGGGGAGGAGGAGGAGGAGGAGGAGGAGGAGGAGGAGTCCTTCTCACTTCCCCCCCCGGGCTCGCCACCGATCGCTGTACACTCGCACGGTCCGGAGCTCTCTGAACGCCCTCTACGGCTCGGCACGCCGCCTGCCAGGAGTGCCGTCTGCTGGGAGTGTCCAGCAGGCTCCAAGCTTCGGCGCTCGGCGGAAGGCTGGGCTCTCTCCCCTCCTCTCTCTCTACCTCCCTCTTTCTATCTCTCCTGCCCTCTCTCTCTCTCTGAGTCTACATGTGTGTTGTTGTTCTCCCTCCCTCCCTCCCTCCCTCTCTCTCTCTGTCTCTCTCGCCCTCGCTCTCTCGCCCTCGCTCTCTTGTCAGCTCTTTACCGTTCTTTTTTTTTTGTTGTCTCTCTCTCTCTCTCTCTCTTTCTAACGTGCGTCAACACGAGAGAGATGCTCAGCTATCTCTAACATCTCCCTCGAACATGCGCCAGCATCTCACTCTCGCATGCTCAGCATTTTTTTTGTTCTCTCTCTCTCTCTCTCCCCCTTCTCCGACATGCATAGGCGCCAGCTCCATCAGCATGCTTCAGTCTGGAGTTGTCGGAAGATTCGCACCATTTTGAACTGCTTCGGTCGGCGTTTCGAGGGAGCGCGCGGACGTCAGCCAGATCCAGGGCCCCAGAGAGGCCCACCTGCTCGTGTCCCCGCCCTCGCCCGTGCGAGCAACTCCAACGTTGAGAGAGCTTTTGCCCGCACATACATGTGCAGTGTAGATATCTCCCTCTCTCTCTCTCTTCTCTTCCTCTTTCTCTCCTCTCTCTCTCTCTTTCCCCCTTTCTCTGTTTCCGTTCTCCCCCCTCCCTCCTTCTGTATGTGTGTATGTGTGCACGCATGCAGGCATGCATATGTGTATGCATGCATGTGTGTATGAATGCATTGGTGTATGTGTGTATGTATGTATAATAGGTTTCGCATTTGTATATGTCCTTACACTAGCAGTTGTATTTGTATGCCGTAGCTTTTTGCAAGCAGTCTATTTGTATATGTAAATCCACAGATAGATGACGATCATATATATATATGTATGTTTATGTATGTATGTTTGTATATATACATGCGTATATCCTCTCTCTTTTTCTCGCTCTCTCCCTCTCTCTGTCCTCTTCCTCTTTCCCCCTCTCCTCGCCTTCTCCTTTTCTCTAGCACAGTGCTCCAGAGCGTGAATGGCGCAATTGTTGGGTATACTGTAGCGCAATGGAGTGATACGGCGAGTGGTCGTGTCCGAAATTATGAAGACCAGTGCAGCGTTGAGCAAAGAGAGTTCAGAAGGAACACGCAGCACGATTGTCATGGCCGAGTGCAGCTCGTTCCGTGTGCGATTGCACACGGCCTTTATCTCTCGCTTTCTCTTTCTCTCTCCCTTCCGCTCTCTGTCTCTGGATCCCCCACTCGTTTCTCTCTCTCTCTCTCTCTCCCTCTGTGTGAACATCTGTGCACCGTTACCCCTCTTCCTCTCCCTTGCCTTCTTCCCTTCCGTGTTTATCGGGTTAAATTGTAGTCGATCGTTCCACCTTCATCATCACAACCATAAGCATCACGCCACCATCATCCTATCCCGCTATCTCGTTCTCTGTCTTTTCCTTGTTGTTTTCACCTGCATATAGGTTGTTCTTTGTGCGTATTCGTATGCACGTCTGGGTAGGGCTCCTGATGTTGAATTTGCAAGCGTCACGCGAGTATGCCATGTCGCTGTGAGCATTCTTTTTTGTCGTCATACTCTTTCAGCCCTTGTAAAACAGTGCATGCGTGTGCGCACATTGTCGTGGTGCTCATTTTCGGAACCGGTAGTCGGGCGCACTTGTAAGAAAGCCCTCCCGATATACTCACAATCTCATTGATGCCCGCGCCGCTCAATGACCACATTCTTCGTTTTACTACTTGTTGCCCAGGGCTGCATCGACGTGGCCGTCGACGAGCATCGTATGGTCTTAAGAGCTTGTTCCCTGTTCGTCTGTCCCTCTCTGCCTCCCTCTTTACAGTTACACATTATTAATACCACTCCCCTCTCTC